GGAATCAATAAACTGGACTCAGATTGCTGAGAATGCTGACTTGAGAGAGTGAGAGAGAGAGGAGTGGGTTTAGTTTCATAGCATTCATGGGGTTTGTGTGTGTTTTGTATTTATAAACACAGATAATCTTTGCAAATTTTAGTGATAATTTTGTTTTATCTGAATATTCAACTTGCTGTCTGTCTAATCAAATCCATTATTTGGCTTGTTTTGCAGGTCAGTCACAAGCATATTAACAGCAGTTCAGCTTATCTTGTTCACCTTCATAATATTATTGAAATTACATGGGTGTAAAAAGCAACTTTCACAGGCTGTTTTATTCACTGAGTGAAGAGTCACTTTGACCTCCCCTGTATTCTTATTGCCAGAGTAGACCAAGTCTGTTGGCTGTGCATATCAAAAACTCCTGTTAAAGCCAATGGAAAATTAAGTCTGTTTTTTTTTGTTTTTGCTTTAAATGAGGAAAATGTCATTCTCTGAATCAAAACTATTACTGGTTTCAGTGAAAAAAAAAGGTTTAAATAATTCAAATGCAATTTGTTAGAGTTCTCTTAACGTGCACAAAAGCCTGCTATTTGTTGCTTTAATGCTGTTGGGCTGTATTTTTAAGGCATGAAATTCACCTAAGAAAAATGGGTTGAGAGAACTTGAGATAAATAAATTTTGGATAGATAAAAACACAAGTACAGTACTTAACTTCACACATAGCATTACCAACAAAGTAGTCTGTAGAGACTGAGCCTGAAATGCATATGGAAGTTCTTCACATCAGCTGGGTATTGAAGGTTGTGTTTTATGAATACAGTACATTAATTGATAGATATGAGGTTGCAATCAAAATGTAAATAGAACTTGGTTTACATTAGTGCCCACGTTTGCTGTATAGATATGTAATATATGCTTTTAGGATGCTGAACTCAATTTCAAAGCATATCTTTAATTCATGAATTGTGAAAATGAATTCCATTCGTGGCTTACAAAATACAGTGATTAAAAATTATGTTTTTTCTGAGCTGAACCAACTTCATAATTTCACATTATTCCTGTATTGAAAGCTCCTGTTTGTTCCAAAAGCATTGCTACCTTTTTTTAATATTGTGAAATAATGTTCAGTTGAGCAATTACTTTTATTGTGACAGCTGCACTTTTGGTAGATTCTGATAAACCCAAATTAAGGGCAGTATTTCATTATTATTATTGATAGATGCTTTACATATTTGAAGGACCATATTCAGAGGCACATGCTGTGCTGTTCCTGGTTATGCATTTATAGTTTGTGTATGAAGTTATGCAGGGGGATAAAACTCCTCAGCTGCTCTGCTTTCCACTGACTGAATAGAGGAAAGGGCATGGACATTAACAGGGGTGGTTTTTACCTTGACCCTTCTGTTCAGCTGTCCTGGAGATCTTGTTCTTCTGGGTGTAAAAAATTAGCTCACCTGCAGAACCTCACATGAATTTTGTCCTCCCCAGGTGCCCTGATAATAAGTGCCAGTTACTCTTTGAGTTGTTGAAGAAACCCCTTGTGGAGAAAGCATTGCAAGGGTCCTGCAGGTAGAAGCAAATGAGGTATTCAGGAAAGTCTGGAGTCAGGGAGAGAGTTGTCAGAGTTGGTAATTGGACAAACTGAGTTAATTTGCATTGGAAATAGAAGTTTTCTTTAGGAGCATGTTACCAAACCCTGGCTGCACTGATGGATGTATCTAGAACAGTAATGAATTTGGCCTTAGGAAGATAAAATTGTGCTGAAAGAGAGTGGATTTGGATTAGATAAAGAAGAAATTCTTCACTACAGGAGAGGTAAGGCACTGGCACAGGTTGCCCAGAAGAAGGTGTGGATGCCCCATCCCTGGAAGTGTTTGAGGACTGATTGATGGAACAACCTGCTCTAGTGGAAAGTGCCCTGCCCATGGCAGGGGCTGGGACAACAGGATCTGTAAGGTTCCTTCCAAGCCAATCCACCCTATGATCCTACAGTGCTTGGTGTATGTGATAGAGAAGTGTAAAACTCTCAGTCTCCAGTGCTCATTCTCCTGGCAGTGAGAGTTTAACGTGAGCAGCCTCGGCACAGAGGTCAGCTCTCATCTCTGAAGGAAGTTTCTCTTGGGGAAAGCTTTTATGTGACAACTTACACATTTCCTGTTCAGGAGGCAATTAGGTGGCTGACTGGATTATGCCTTTTTATTCCAGGGGAGAAATCAGTTAATAACCATCTACTAACATGTGAGAGATGCACACTCTTTCCCCTCCTTTGCAGCACCTAATATGGGTGTTACTCAAAAAACAAATATTTACAGCCAGATCAATTCATGAACCTTAAATACATTACTGGAATATTTACCCTAGGCTGATGGTTTTTTCGTTGTTGTTTTCTGGAAGCTATCTGACCACTACCAAACTAATTTACAAATGCTAAAATTATCTCAAAAGTCATGTGGGAAAACCTTAAATAACAAATGCTTATTTTGTGGCTAGGCATACTGTTACTAATGTCTGCATTTAGTGATGGAGACTATAAACTGTAAATCATACCAGTGTTTCCCATGGCAGAGCAAGCTGCAATCCTGATCTGACAGTGCCCTTTGACCTCTCTGAGGAAAGCATAGTGGGAAGTATGTGAGGACATTATGCTTGATTAGTCTCTCCCTAGTTTGCCTGGGTGGGAAGATAATTGAAAGCACAATGGACTTTGGAAATTGAAGGTTCTGAAATGCACTTTGCAAACACATGCAATTTTAAATCTTTAATGTGTCATCTATATCAGCAGTGGACATTGTCTTCATTACATAAATACAATTCTTCTGCTAATACAGTGCAAATAGGGGTTAGGCAGCATCTGCAGCTATTGTAATTCACACTTCAAATAGCAGTATCCATTTTATATTCTTAAATTCTGAGAATTTAAAAAGATCTTGGAACAGAAAAACTGAATGGCTGATTGATTTCACATTTGCTGATTTATTGCATTAAAGTTGAATTTTGCCCACTAAGTGATCTTATTAAAAAACAGACAAACAAGCAAAAAAACCCCAGTATAACTTATACTTGAGAGACAGGGTTTGGAAGCAGAAGGAATTTGGTTTGGCTATTTTAATACACTGCATCTATAAGCTAGTACCAAGACTATTATTCTGGATATTTTCTGGTCTGTTGAGTCCTAATGTAGCTAATCTCCAACAGATAGTGCTGCCCAGGGTTCCTGTAAAACAATCATCTGCAAACATATTTATTAACCTTTGTTATTTAGTTTTCTGCAAAGTGCAGGCCACCCTGCTGAACAGTCTACAGCATTTGTTTACAATGCTGACTCCTATTAGATATCATTAGGTACCTAATAATTATAATAATTATGTGCATTGCTTAGGCTACCCTGCTAAATAACAACCACTTTTATTCAGAAGTCATAATTGCAACAGCTAGACTTAAAATGAAATCTAATTAGATTTCAGTTCACCCCCTTTCACACACAATCTATATCCACTGTATAGTGACAAAATCTCTCCAGCAAACATAATTCACTTAGCCCGAAAAACTATTGTCTCTATGGCATGTCAGGTAAAAGTTACCTATGTATGTTTTGTAAAAAACTAAGAGAATTGTTGCAGTAGAAATTCAGAGGTTTTGTATAACTTGTGGAAGAAGGCATAATGCTTTTTCACAGAGCTATTTTCATGGTAAACACGTTGGGGTTATGCAGCCATAGCTGCTTTAATGAACATAGTAATTCTGTAACTTGATAGTGGGATATAACCTTGAATTTAACTTTTTCCTGAGGTTTGCAAATTTGAGCTGATCTTAAGTGAAGCTATAATCTTCCTTGTGTGAAATTAAGAAATTCTGCACTTTTGAGCAAGGAAAGGTGGAAACACAAACTTACAAGATGAAGAAAATATGGAAGGGAAGTGATCTTTAAAACTACAAGATGAATCATTTTCTAAACCTGTTTTCTTTTGAAGGATGGAGCCAAGAATTAGCTGATACCTTCTCACTATCAGCCATTTTCCCTGGTACCTGGCTCCATTTGCACACACACAGAATTTTTTTGTAGGGCAATAGCTGGCACTGGCCTTATTTAACCTATGACCATTGAGCATTTACTATATAAGAAGTCTCATTAAATGGTTGCATTAAAAGTTTCAAAACCTTGGATGCAGCTAGAAAGGGAAGAAAAGTGAGTGGAGTGGTCAAGGATTAATAAAGAACAGACTCAGTTCTGCACATGTAACAGGTTAGGATTTCAAAAGTTAGGATTGTCTACAAATTGTATTTTTCAACAAGTGTTTTGGAAAAGGGAACAGTTTTTTTAAGAAAGGCTATAAGTGAACTAGTTGTTCAGTGGAATTTGAAATCCTCTCTGGAGACTGTCTGGATTTAGCAACTTCCAGCCCCTGCAGGTGCTGTGGTGACGTTTTGCAAGTGCCAGCATTTTGACTGGCCACCTTTGATTGTTGGGCTGCATTGTGCACCTTGAGTATCATCTTTACCCAGCTTCTGCTCAGTAGGGGGAAGCTGTAATTTTCCACTGCACTGTTGAGGCTCATGGTTTCCTTAGTTGCCCAACTCAGTGCTGATATCTGTGTCACAGCAGTTAGAGTGCTTCTACTTCAATTCTAGCTTATACCTGCCAATTCTAAGTTGTGATGTCTGTACAACCCTTATCTGGGGGTAATAACTGATCCTTCCTTCCCCCTTCAAAAAGAGATGCTGAAAAGGTTGCAGCTGGTCAGTCTGTGGCAGAGTTGAGCACACACCTCCTGGGAAAACCTTGGAGTCTATCTTTTCACTCTGTGCTCTCCAGTAAAGACACCAGTTCTGACTTGAAACTACATCGTTTTCTTCCTGGTAAGAATCCTTCTGCAGGGATAGTGAGGGTACTATGGCTCATCTGCAGGAAAATTACTTTATTTCTGTAGCTACAAAGAAAACAAAGGGCCGTATGAACCTACACAAACATGTATATGTATAACATATAAATATATATGTAGTATACATATAACATATAAATATATAAAAATATATAAATATATATATGTTCTCTGAGAGATAGGTGTTGAGAACTAGAATTCTTCAGTTAGCAGCTTTCCCCCTGAAATATCACTGAAAAAATGGTATCAACCCCTCACATAAGATTTCCATTTCTGTGCCTTACTCTGTTTGGCCAATCCTCTCATCCCTTAGTGATTCCGAGCATGTATGGCTATTTAATGCATGTGAATATCCACAGGCATTTAATTTGTCTCAGCTGTACTGATGGAGAAATATTCATCCAGAAAAAGGTGGGTGACAGGTATTGACAGGCACAAAACATTAGGAAGGGTACAAAAGTAAATCTCCTTCAGGAGTTTTGGAATAATAATCACCAGACTTTGAGGACCTTGAATGCTCACCTTATTCTTGCTCTGCAGAGCAATGCTGTGCACTGGTATGAATGTTGTGGGCTGTGCCTGTGCTTCCTTCCAGCTAGCACTCCTATGGATCCATGACTAGTCAAGCTGTAGGAAATATACTCCACTCAAAATGATTAGCAATATTTTCCAAACAAAGACTTCAAATCTTCATACAATTGTTTTGGTGTTTGTCATGAGTTTTATGAGATAAATTAGTCAGAAACAGAATACCCAGAGAGATCTGGATTTTGGCCCTGAAATATCAAAAGGAGAGTTTCTGAATAAGAACTTTGGCAAATCTGCAGTAGTTACTTAACCTTAGTTGGCTTTAAATTTTAGCACCACCCTTCCCTGGCTGTACTTGTTTGTTTGCTTGGTTTGGGAACTCCCACCAAGAAAGGATCAGGACCATATTGATTTTAATAGTACAGACGGGTATCCTGGACACAAAGGATTGATTTAGGTAGAAATACACCTGAAATTAGGAACATGGTGTTCTATGGTCATTCTTAATTTACATTCAAATGAATAAACTCGTCAGCAGGGAAACCAAGCAAGTATCATATCAAATTATTATGCAATATTGAATACACAGATAAAGAACAATTCTTAATTTCTAGCAAATAATTAAGGATTAGAAATGCTTGTTAATAATAAATTAGACCAAATTTGCTATCAGACCCCAGTGGGAAGACTTGCATGACTAGAAAATTAGAATAGCAGATAATAACTTATTTAGGGAAGTCTGAATGGATTGAAAGTAAAAGGATTGAAGTCTAATTTAGTGGCTTTAATTGTTTCACTCTCATTCATGATTTGAAAATGTATGGGCTCACATAGGAAAGAATCACTGCTATGGGAGACAAATCATGTGAGAGGTGACTTCTATAAACAGGAGAGCTAAGCAGCTAAACAACCCCTTGTTAGAATATCTAGTCAAAATAAACACATTGTCAAGATTAAAAACTGTAATGGTGAATAATAATAATAATAATAATAATAATAATAATAATAATAATAATAATAATAATAATAATAATAATAATAGAAATGTAAATTAGGTTCAAGATTTTCTGATTTTAATGGAAACACTCAGTTTGAGACTGCTTGAATTCTTTTGCTAAATTTTAAGAAATCAAGGGCAATAGGATCTTGGGTGACATTTGCTGATGTTGTTTGGACAGAGTGAAAATAATTACTAAAAGATATGTAAAGATATGTAACAAAGGCATTGTACAGAAACAAAACTGAAGAAAGCGTAGATTTCTGTTGATGATTATAAATTAGGAACTGTAGGAATAGTTTTGATTTTTAAAATGCCACGAAAAGATCTTCAGTAGGTTTTTTTGCTGTTCTATCTGTATTTAGTAAAATCAGATGTAATTATAAATAGTGGTACAAATTTTCAGTAATTTTCTGTCAGTGGGAAAAGTTGTTCTATACAATACCTATAATAAGTTATTATAGCTTACATAACAGAAATCTAGAGGACTATTTTATATATCTGTGTTAATTAAGAAATTTTCAGTCTAAAAATAAATAAAAATCAAATCAGTAACTGGAATATGAGCTTAGACAAGCTCAGGTGGCACAGAAGGGCTTGTGCTGTTGGGAGTGGCTCCTGCAGGAGTGGTTCCCAAGTGCCTCAGTCCCACTTTCCCTGGGCTGGTTGTGCCCTGACCTCACTGAAGGGAAGGAGCAGGTTTTGGTGATTTCAGCACAAGCCTCTGCAGCCTCAGGGAGGCTCAAGGAACAGCACCTGCCTTTGCAGATGCCAGCATTCCTCAGTCACCAGTTGTACAAGGAATTTAAACCAGTTTTAAATGGAGTTTAAAGCCCTTTCTATGGCCAAATCCATATACACCCACAAACCCGAGGTGGTTTCACTCGTTTGCTGTTTGGGGCGTTTCTGGGGGGAAATACCCTCCTCCTTCAGCTGCCTCCGACTTTACAGGTCCCTTGACATTTTGATGGCTCATCTTTTGGAGTGGCAGGGCTTCTTTGGCTGGTCTAAGGCTCACAGGTGGTGTCACAGAGCAGGGTGAGCGTGGCTGGTGTTGGTGAATTCAGGAGGAGAGGCTGCTGATGCAGCAGCAGTTACTAAAGCGCGACCGAAGGAAACTAGAGCTTTAGGTAATGCTGTCAAAAACAAAGAAAAAGAAAAAAAACAAAAAACAAAAACAAAAACAAAAACAAAAACAAACAAACAAAAAAAGGATGGAAACCATCTCTAAGTGCCTGACACAAGTCTTGTTTGAAAGGAGTGAGGCAGCTGAAGTGGGCAGTGATGAGGTGTAAATAAGGGAAGAACACCAGAACGTGGCGCTTTCTGGAGGGAGTGCTGAACAAACAATCCTGTGTAGTTCCACTGAAAAATGCTGGAAAGGGAAGAAATTGCAAGACTGAATGTGTTTTGGTACTTTTTGATCTGCTGTTTCTGTACTATGAAGCTCTCACCGTGATTGGTATATATCTCCAAACAATTCAATTTTAATAGAGGAAAGTTGGGGCAAACTATCTCAGTGCTGCAAAATGTCATTAACAGGATGTAGATAAATACATGATAAACTTGGGAGCTCACAGGAGCACTCCTCTCTCTTTCTTCTTGTTTCTACGTCATTATTGATACAAAAGCAGCTAGACTTCTAATGAAAATGTTTTAGAAATCTATTAAACAAAAAAAAAACCAAAAAAACCAACTTTTTTTTTTTTTTTTAAATCAGCCTGGGGTTTTGAAGTTCACTTGTCTGTAGAGGAAATGTAAATACAGGAACAAGTCCTGTCACAAAGACCTTAGTCTTGATTTTAGCAGCAGTAGAATCAGCCTGGAGTGAGCAGCTTGCAGTTCTATATGTTGCATTGCCCAGGACTGCAATCCAGGGAACTTATTTTGAACTATGTCTGAAAGGTATTTGGTACATTTTCAAATGCTCCTTTAACGAATTCTATGCTTTTCCTTTGAAGAGTCATAATATATATCCCTATATTTTTATATTAATTGAATGTATGACGCAAAGTTTTTCCACAAATGTGTTTAAAGTAGTTCTGTTAAATATTAAAAAGGCAGAGGCAAAGCATGAGTCAAACTGGGTTAAAAAGTAGATTTAATATCATCAGCACAACATACTCCTATATAGAAATTAGTGAAACCTGTTCAGAAAGGAGAATTAATCTTTTTTTTTTTTTTTTCCTAAATTAATCGGTGACATCTGGCACCGATGCATTTCACATCAGTGAAGCACATATCTTGCTCATTGTACTGATAAGATCTCTGGTAAGGTATTTTTCCTTAATCAGAAACTGTGGAAGAATATTCTGGTCGCTGGATAAATACTGAGGTTGTGATTTGTCAGACTAAAATGCTACCAAAACCAACAAAATCTTGTCTTTATTTCTGCTTACCTCTCTACATTTTAAGACAAAAATAAAAGCAACTTGCATTGAAATTTAGTACTTGCTCAGATAGTTATAAGGTACGGTTCACCTAATAAGAAACATTGACCAAAAAATTATATTCATGCTTATACTTGCTCTATGGCAATTCTGGTCATCCTCATATTATTGATTAACAGCAGCCTGAAATTTTTAATTCTTTGCTTTAGTGCAGTGTAGCAATTGCTGAGGAATGATGCCTGCAGCAACACAGGCATCCTGCAAACCATTTATTCTTGCAAGTGTACAGACAGAAGACCTTATCTGCTTAAGTTTACAAACATTTTCTGAAGTTGATATAAATCATTCCACTTCAGACATTCTGAGATATATCTCTCACTTAAAATCCTTAGTGATCCACGATCCACACAGGTTTTAAAACCAAACAATTATAGCAGTAGGGAAATCAGATGCTTTTTCCCTTTTAAAGGTATGTAATTGATCAGTATCATTGTTTCCCACAAAAGTGACTCAGGCAGATGAAATATATCCCCCTTCTTCCCACTTTTATGCACAGAATGTATCAGGCCTCAAGATATAGCAATATTTACAAGCTCATGCTCCTGTTAAGTGGACCATGCTGCCACATAGTGGAGGTCTGATGCACCCTGTCTGCTCTCATTTTATTAAGTTGCATGAATATAAAGATGAAATAATGGGGCTTGTTCATTTATGTAATAATTAACGGCACATTTACACTCCCAGCATATCACTGTTGATGTTTACTATTTGATCAAGTATGATGGATGCCTTGTGGTTGCAGATTCAGATTAGCATAATTTCATCACCAAGGGACCCATGAAAAGGTTCAATTATAGAGCAATCTCATTAATACCAGGGCTTGTTAAACTAATAGAAAGAGACATCCCAACAGCTCTGATATGTATACATGTGCATGGAATATAATTAATGGAAAAGCAACCCATACCTGAAACAAGCTTGAATGATACAATTACATGATATACTAGGCTGACTGAGACAAATGCTGTTCTTAGCTCTGCTCAGAGAAAAAATGTCAGCAAAAATATAGGCAGCCTTTCTTCCAAAATGTTAATAAAAGATTTCTCCTCTGTCTTTCAGTGATGCACACTCCTTTTTTTTTCTTTGCTTTTAAATGAAAAACTATTTAACTCGTGCTGTCCTCTGATAGGGCAGCATGACAAACAATAGCTCCCCAGCTATCCTTTATCTTTAGCCTCTTCATTTTTAAGCAGCCATTTTTCTAGAACTTTACCTCCAAGAACAAGAACTGTGGTAAGGAAGTTTGTAGAAGTTCTACTTATTGTAGCTGGGAATGTGAGTGGGCAGCCAGCTCTTTCTTTGGAGGAGCACACTTCAAATTTCTCAGAAAGGAGAATAGAGAACTACTGCAAGTGGCACCTGTCATTCATGCATGACAGGAAGCAGTTTGAAGTCCAAGCAACAATTTAGTCTTGCAGATTTTCTAGTGACAGAAAACCCTTTCCCTCAGTTTTTTCATCAGTTAAATACTGAAGCTATGTGCAGAAACTATTTTCCCAAAGCTAATTTTTCTGTGTGAAGATGACTGGAGTTCTTAAATGTTTTTTCATTCTACTTTGAATGGTTCAGTGCATCGTTTCCATGGCCAGCTGAGAACTTATCCATAGCCTGCTTCCTCTCAAGTCAACAGATGACCTATTCGTATATTTAATATGAAATATTTCTTTGCCTTTGACCAACCATAGTATTCTAGCAAATATTTTCTGGAGTGCCCTGCTAGTATTAATGATATCTATTAATAATACCTAATACTATTTTAATAATACCTAATAGTCTCCTGTTTTAGGAGAGTCATGAACAAGCAGCTGAATGGCCTGAGCTCTGAGCTCTCCACTCTTCAGCCTGTAAGCAGCAGACTGGGAACTCTGTGGGAAGGGAGGTCCCTCCCTTGCATGGCATGTTAGGAGTTATGCTCTAGGAAAGGCTGCTAAAATTATTTGGGATAGGCTGGATGTGACTTTTTCGTAGCATCACTCTAGAAGATGCAGATCCCTCGCCCCATAATTGCTCAGAGACTTGGAAACAGTGAAGGACATTTGGAACCAGCTTCATAGTTACCTCTTGTTCCCTTTGCAGGAGGCAATATGGCATGTCCATCCATTTGATGTCCCGTTGACATCAAATGTTTGAGAAATGGTGAATTTCTCACTGGCTGACATCTTGTGTATTCTGGGAAGGTTTGTTCAGAATTCACTAAAGTGTAAATTTGTTAGTTCCATCCAAAGAAGCCCCATGAGCCCATTCTTATTTGACTTAAACTGCTTAGTAAGGAGTTTCAAAAAAAGCCATGAAAAGCCACTCTCAAGCAAGAATAAGAGTGTCAACACAGTCATGCATCCAAGAAAAGTTTCTCTTTCAGGCAGTCTTGTGACACAAGAACTTTGGCTCTCAATGAGGAAAAACTTCCAGATTTTGACACAATCCTTCCCATTATTTCTCCAAATGGCTTTAACTCAGCCTTATTAGAAAGCCAAAACTGATGTCTGCACAGGAGAACCATGACTAAATGTCACTTAGTTTGAACCTGTGTGAAAAGTGCTGCTGGATGGTCACACAAAGGTCACACAAGGTTGTGAGCTCAGGGCTCTGCCACTGCTCTTCATGTGCTTTGTGTAAAGCTTGGTTTGTTTTTCCTGTCTCCCAGTGATGTTGGTGATTCTGGTCCTTACACTGAAGTCACTCTTTATGGTATATAGTGTATTTAGGCACTAGTTAAAATTAACAAACCAAAAAAACACCCACACACACGAAAAAACCCCACACCAGGAAAAATAGCAAAATCCTTACATAAATCTAGGAATGCTCTTTCACACAACACACCACACAGTGGTGTGAATACTCTGTGTCCTAGACTGCAGCAGGACTGAGTCTTTTCAATTGGATTTATTTCTTCACTGACCTCACCAATGGAAACTGGCTTTGGTCATGTCCTTTGAAAAGTGTCTGATGTCCCTATGATCAGGCTCTTTAATCATTTAGTGCTCATGAAAACCCTGCATGTCTGCAGAATGCTGTGGAAATGGACAACTGCAGCACAGTGTGGAAATAAGTATTGTGAGCACGGACAGCATCTGAGGCAAGAACTTTTTGGCAACCGTGAACAGCTCCAGTAAAATGGGTCCTGTTCAGAATACAATAACTCTCTAACAATTCATTGTTGAATCCCTCGTTTCCTTTGTAGACCTAATTTTTGCTTAAATTAATTTTTATGCTGATGTGTATATGCTCTGATTCCACCACGTGATCTTATTAAATCTACAGTGGTGCATTTTCTATCACTTCTGCTAGTCGATTTTTCTGCAATTTTAAGCAAAATAACACTATTCCAAAAATACTTGAAGGCTCATGAATGACTCATACTGTAGTTCATTGAATACCATAAAATATTCAGTGACTCAGAGTCCTAGCACAAACCAAAGGTCCAAAAAAGACTCTATTGTTCCCAATACAGAGGTACAAAATCTGAAGACTTATAAATCAGGCATTAGCAGCTATTCCTGCTTTTGGGGTTGACACTTGTCAAAATTCTAGCTAATCCCTGTGTGGATTTTTAAAACAGTGTAATGGAACCTAATAATTTTTTAATGAGAAACAGTGTGTTTGCTAGATTAATTTCAATTTGTAATGTTAATTAGTTTCATGTGAAAATGCAATGATCTGGAGGAATATATATGACACTGGAACACTGGAAACAGTTTTCAAAGCATAAAGCAGCTGTGTTACATGGTTCCTCTACTCAGAATTACAATAGCAGTGTAGCTCATTTTCTGAATGATTCAGCTTTCACGTTTTGAACACCAAAAGCTTTTATTCTCTAGGGCAAACTGATCCCTACATAGTCCAATGATCATGTCTCTGCCTGAGTGGATTAAGTAGGAAATGACTTAGAATACCCTGATCCAGAACCGAGAATGTTCAAGGAATGAGGTTCACTCAAGCTTGTTTCCCATCTGAAAACAAGGCTTGTCTATGGATTATGCCCCCTGTCAGTTACATATATGGGTATCTATATTCACTTTCAGCATTCCTGATCTTTTAATCCAATATCACTTTGCACTAGCATACATCTACTGATGTGACCAGACCAACAGCCATACAAGGATGCCATAAGGAAAGGAGAACCAGTTTGTCATTGTTATAAATGGTATATTTATTTTTGAACTCAATGGCATTTTGAGGTGTGGCCATTCACACACACAGCTTTAAAAGGTAATACAGTTTTTGAAATAACATTAACATGCTGCTTGGTAAGTCCAGAGACAATTCAGCTAGTGTTTAGGTGGTGATATCATTTGATTTATGCTGAGGTTTTGATAATGAAACAAAAATGGCATTGAGAATCATGTGGCTTCCTTGGAAGTACCTTTGGAGAAGAACAGGTGCATCAAAGTACCTTTTTAACAGAATAACTGGGATTTGAGGATTTCATTGGAAGACTCAGGTTCTGTTTAAATGTACTCTCTGGGGCAGACAGAAAATGGTAGATATGAGACTAAGTGGGTATCACAGGAAATAGTAGAACTGTAATACTGTGTTACTGCACCCAGTAGAGTTAGAAATGTCAGTCTGATAGAACAGTTGTATTTCTTATGCAGAGATTTTTAAAATAAAAAATCGGCAGCCTTGAGCAGATGACTTTTAAATGAATCCATACGCATTGATACATTCCCTTGCCAAGGTGCAATATCATTGATCACAACTGGGACTCATTGTTATTAAGGTTTCAACAACATTTGTATTAACAAGTCACCTTTGTATCGTAAAAAGGGAGAGGGTTGATAGGCATTAAGAAAACAGCTGCATCATAGCGAGCAGCCAAGAGCACAATGGGTGTCAATAGGAGGTAAAACTACTCCCGCTGAGACAAGTGAAGAAGAAAAATGAAACAGGAGGATTTGTTCCAGCAGCCCTGCCTAATTGTTTATTCCTTTCTCATTCCATCCTAGTCACTTAAGGGCTGTGGCTTCTGCCATGTAAAAGGAAAAATTCAACCCTTGGGCTGCTCGGGGTTTCTCTCACTGTAAATGAGTGGAATTTGGGTGCTGGGAAGCTGTGGGCAGGGTGATGGTATGTTACCTTTTCCTGATTAGCTACAAGGCATTTACCTCAGATAAGTGCTGTGTGAGTGTATGACCTCATAAGTGGCCCCAACCAAACACTAATAGTCTACTTTAGAGAGGAGATTAGGTTCCACTAATGGTGTCACAGCATGAAATAAGATGCAACATATTAACTGGGGGAGAAGGAGCACAAGCAGAGGGGGGGAAGCTTGGAATGGAATAGGACAGCTTAAAGGTAGAAAGAACTCAGGGATAGCCTAGGATATCTGTAGCTCCTGAATGAAAGCAGATTTTGCAGGCTTCTTGTGCGGAAAAAAGGTAATTTAAAACAATAGAGGTAGTGACTCCTCTGTACCTGGCACCCACAGGTTTGGCTCTCCTGAGCGTGTTGGCCAGTGCAGGGAGCCCAGTGCACAGCTCTGCCATAGCTGGGCTCCCAGAGTGGGGCAGAATTTGCCCCCAGCAGGTCTCTGACATGGTGTCTGTGTCCCTCGGGGTGCCTTACTGGATTCATTTTGTTGGTTCTGAGAGCTTCTAACAGCAGGAACCCAAAGCATTGTTATGGGAGTTTCATCCAGTGCAAGCTGACTTGGTCCAACTCCTCTCAGAGGCCTCCAGCTCTTCTATGATTGTACCACAAGCTGTAAAAATGAAAATTTTTTCATTACTGGTATCATTGAAGCTGCTGTACTTCCCAGGAAGAGCAAGTCAGGCATTTCCTATAATCTGCAGAGAGATCTCTTCTAACTGTGAGATGAATTCAATAAATAGGGCAAACAAAACAGTTGAATTCAAAAGCTTGCTGTCAGTTGAAAGATATCTGACAAATAGTATTACCACTGTTATTTTATCCATCTAAACTGAAGGAGAAGGAGCAATTTTTAACAAATCATACAAACATTTTTTACTTCAAAGGGTCTTTCTTGGTTCTAAACTAGTAAAATTTAGCAGAGGAATTTCTGCTCTAATGTATAAGATTTCTAAATTTTTGAAGCTTAGCACATTTGTGCTGACCACATTCCCTAATAAGCAGAAGTTAAATGGTTGGCTCATGCATGTGAAAAATGTTTCGGCCCTTGTCATATCTCAGATTTTGCTATTTTTATGAAATGGGTGTAACAAATGAACACAGTGAAATAATACTGCTCCAGTACCTGTCTGAGCAGGGACACCTATGGTATCCACGCTCACTTTTCAAGTCAATGATGCTCCCATTAGAATCTCCTTTTACATGCTAGGAATCAGGCAATAAACTCTATATTGCATTTTCTACATGCCAGCTGTCTTAACCTTACATAGAAATCCAGTGGGAAATAAACACTTGAATTAGAAACTGATTAATTATAAAGAAATCTTAAAACATTGTAAGGAATTTTTCAACTTATGCAATGCATAGTTAATAATGGTTTACAGTCCAAGCACGATTTAAAGTTCAGGCACAGTTTAAGAGGCTAGAATGAGAGAATCTTTTTCTGAAGGCTGTCTACTGATTTTACTGTTGTTTACAAGCTAGAGCATGTGATTAACAATACTCTGGCTTTGAATAACAGGGACTGGAGTTCTCACTAGGAGACATGTTCATCTACTGAAGCACTGGGGTGTAACAGTGCTGCTGATGTGGAGAAAGATCCAAGAGTGATCTGCTCTTGCAGGAAACCACTTGTATTTTCAGAGAAGCAAAAAGGTGCTGAACTAAAGCACAGATGTTAATTTCTGTTCTCACACACACACACACATTTATATATCTATGTATATAGACATATTTATAAGTATACACACGTGTTTACAGACACATGTACGAAACTGGAAAGTGACAATCACATAACAGATTTTTTTTGAAAGAGCACCTTAAAAGCACTGACTAATTTCAGAGCTGGGTTTGAGGCAGAGCAGATGACCCAAGTGCATCCCATGCCAACATGTATCTGATGAAAACATTTATCTCTGGAAAGATGAATAGTTGAATTGTGTTCTTTGTGTGGTGACAAGATTAATTTGGAATAACCCTCTCTGGAAATGATACCAGCCACCCAGATTTGTTATCCCAGAGAATTCACTGTCAATTGAAGCTATCAAATTATTTCCATTAGATAAGTGCCTCCTTCTGCAGGATTACACACCCATTCATTTCCATCTCAGTTATAGAATCTTTGCTTCACTGTAGCTAATACTATTGAGAAGTTGGATATTTTTAAAGCTGTGCATAATTGCTGCTAGTGGGACACTGGGCAGTTTCCTGTGCCTACAGTTGCCAGCTTGGCAATTCTGTGTTTAATGTGTCTCATACCTACCCTTGGTAGGGCTCATGGACCAGGCATCCTTAGGCTCAAATTCCCTGAGGAGCACATGTTGGTAGCTGTACTCAGAGGGCAGAAATAAATGCAGGGCTTCTGTTTCTTTTCTTTTCTGTGCTGTCACACAGTTCATAATGTGTGAGCAAGGAGAATGATCTGATCTTTCTGACATTAGTCCCGTTGGGAGACAGGCAGCTCTGGATTTGCATGGTCTGGTCCTGCACTTGAGACACTGCATCTCAGTGGGAAGAGAAGGGGGAAGAAAAGGAGCCCACGTAGCTCCTGCTGTCTGGTGGCCAGTCTTCCTCCAAGGGACACTGAACACCCTCGGGCCAAGGTGGGAAACAGATTTTGCCATTCCAAATGCTCTAATGACTGGATGCAGCATAAACAGTCAGGAGCAGCAGCTACCTTTGCAGCTGTCATTGCACAAGTTGTATTCCACTGTTCATAAGGTTGAGTTCCTGAGAGAGAGAGGGGCTCTCAGACATGGCCTCCTCATGGTGGTTTTAATTTTTAATGGTTGTTCCGGGCGCTTCTGCAGGAAAGGATGTTTGTCACAAGTTCTCTGCTCCCTTGTATTGCAGTCTAGGCCACAAACACAGCAGTCTCCTCTGGTGCAGTTCCAGTGGTCCTGTACCAGCCTTTTTAACATGATAGCAGAGCATAGCTAAAGCAGAGACTGGGGTGGGGATGAAAAACCAACTCATATTTTATTATATCAGTTACAACACAGACAGTGCATTTTCCACATAATTTTCAATCTCAAAAAGATAATGCAAGAGCTGTGTGTAGAAATCCACAACCTGCTGCTATAGATGTTTCTCACTTTTGCCTTTCTTTGAGGAACTTGAAAACTGTCTTGCTATTGTTAAAATGCTGATTTAATTGTCTTCTAATTTTCTTCTCAGCCATCTTGCTAGCCAAATAAATAAACCAGAGGCATGAGATCTGCTGCTCTAACTTCTCTGCCAGATGAACACAGAAGGTGTTCTACATGCAATTTGTAAGGTTCATGTATTTCTATGCTTGCACCCAATTTTCATAAAGCAACAGGTTCAGAGTGTCATTGCTGCAGGACACACCACCATTCCCTATTGGAACTCCATTCAATATATCTGCTGCAGGTTAAGAACCCAAGGCTGTTTGAAACACTCTGGCCACTGACCCCAGTTGTGACCACCCTCATTTCCCAGTATGCCACAGATTTGTACTTACACTCTCTCTGGGAGCTGCTGAAGCTGCAGGGGGCTGGACGTGACTTTGGCTCTGATCCCAGTGCCCTCACACATGACCCCAATCAGCTTTACTACAATTCTCATGATACCCACAGGGTTTCCAGATGGAAAGAGAAAAAGAAATGTTATCAGCACAATCCAAATGGAAAAGGGGTTGTTTTATTTTTTTTTTTCATAGACAATCTCTGATGCTGGTACACAGGAGTTATTAATTCATCTTTTTGTATAAGAATGGTTTCATTTGTTAGAACTAGAGAAATATAACATACTTACTTTGATTGTCAGGTCCCTTTTTTTCCTTTTAAAATGAGAAATAATGCTAAAAGGAATTATCATTTATTTTAAAGCATTTTCTAGTCCCCATCAAATCTCACAGTCTATGATATGGAAGGAATTAATCATTAAATCTATAGCTAACTTGTACCTAATAATGAATATTAGTTGCAGCTGCTGTAAAATGAGAGTTGCCTTTAGAATTGACTCCAAGTCACAAATCAAGTAATAACCAGCAATACTTTCTTTCTGAAAACAGCTAGATGAGGCTGTAGAGGCACCCTTCAACAACACAGAAAAACACATTTCACAGTGGTTTTAACCATTTTGCAATGTATTTTTGTGTACTTTAGAAATAAAACTGCAAAAATCAATTGGACATATTCGGCATTTGCATGGGTGTTCATGAGCTCTCATCCTGCCTTCAGGGTGTAAATGTGCCTGGATTTATCCTGTAATCTCCCATGACTAAAAGAAAGTTTTGAATAAGTCTATTAAAAAAAAATTGACTGTTTTCTCATGAAAAGGAACAGTAATTTTTAGAGCTTCTGAGGTATTTTGATTTCTACTTTTTTCCATCAGCACCAAAGGGAAACATAATTAAATTTATTTCTCGTCATTCAATTTTTCTATCTGTTTTCACAAGAAAAATCTTATTACTGTAGTTTTGATATTATTATAAAATAGGTATTTGAAGAAGTAATATCACATTGCATAGCACTTGTCTGAGCATAATATAATTATATTAATCATCTCCAAACCATGATGTAAGTAACTAATCAGCTCAATCCAAAAGCTGCTTTGGCTTCTCTATAAATTATGTCGTAGTAATTTCACCAACGCCTTTCCAGACACACTTTTCCCTTCTTATTGTCTTAGTAAAGGTTGTGGATGCAATGAGAGATTCAGCATCCTGAGGAGAGCAGGAACAGCTGAAGTTTTTGTTTGATTCTCTGCTTTCAAAGTTCCATTAGAGCTGCTGAGTGCTGGAGCTGGGAAAGGAGCAGCTCTGGACAGTCGCTCAGTTTGTTGTGTTCAGTCTTGGTGGGATAAACAAATAAGGTGGGCAGGGATTGGAGGGAAAAGCTGCTGTATCTCTTCCTTGGCACAACCCAGCATCTTTGTTTGCAATTCACTTCTTGTTATACAAGTCCCTTTGTGCCAGATCTTGATGTTTTGGTTGTCTGTTCATTAAAATAATACCTGCTAAGGAATCTTTCTTGATTGTAGGAATTTTCAGTGCAACTGAGGTGCAACTATGCTATACTGAGTCAAAGCTGTTTGCCAGCTAGGCAGTTTACTGAGTAAATATCTAGTGCCAGAGTTCACACTCTGAACATGTGTAATTCATGCATACTAGTTTTTCTGTTGAGACTAAGCTTTGAATGTTTTTAGAATCAGAGCCTGAAATGAATGGTTCTGCCCTGTTCCTCCTCCTCCAGCCCCAAACCACTGATCACAATAATAAGCAATGTGCTGAACTGTGGAAAACTCTCATCATCAACTCACTTTTTATTTAATAACAACCAGATATTCTTACTGCCAGATACATGCTGAGGTTTTGATGACATGCATATGATATACAGTGGCCAGTAAGGTTAATCTCAGACCTGTATTTTTTAAAGATCCCCATGAGGATGGACTTCTGCACCTGCTGTCAGTGTAAAGATGGCTTTCCCAACTGCTACTCACCTCATGGCGTGTTCTTGAAAACCTCTCACTTTTAACGTATCTGCTTAATGAAAATGCTCTCACTGACAGTGAAAAATGGAACCTATCAATGTGCTACCAGTCCACATTTCCATTGCTACCATCTAAACTTCAGAGACCTGCTGCCCTCAGTGAGAGGCAATGATGCTATTGCAGCCTGACAAGGGCATATTGAGAGACTTGGGCATAGATTGCACAAATGCTCTTATAATTTTATATCTTTAAGAATGGACCTTGCAGTAGAGATAACTAAAAAGTTCTGGTTTACAGGGCAGAAGAGGGACCAGTCTGAGAGTTTAAAGAGAGCAAACAGAAATTATGAGTGACCCAAAGGTAAATGTGTGTGTGTGTTCCCATTAAGGATAAAAGAAGCAACAAGTAAATCCACTACCAAAACCAAACAGATTACAGTTCAGGCTGTGTTTCTAAAAGATGAAGAAAGGTAAATCGATCTTACCCTCAGATGCAGCAACTTCTAATAGCTCTGCCAGGGATGTCAGCAGTGCTTCTGTCTGGCTGCATTGTAGTTACATGTCTCATTTCAAACACTGCAAGCTGTGAACTGTCCTGGCAAAAACCTCAACAATGCAATTAATCAATTTAAAACTCCAAAGTCATGAAGAATAGACAAATAGTTTTCTTCACAGTGTCCTGCTTAATTGGGAGCTGTCTGGTCACTCCTACAGAAACAGTGTTCTTACACCTTTGGACACTTTCACAAGGAAGCACCCCAGGCTCCTTCGTGCTTGTTCATTAGAGATGAGCTTGAGTGTGCTAAGGTGTCACTAATGACACTTGCAAGGAATGCTAGAGGAAAACACTGGATATTGTCCTTGGGCAACAGCAGAAGCCCTACTGAGACAAAGGCATCTTCTTGTACTACTCCCTCAAAAGAGATATTACTTTCTTCCAACCTAAATTTCAAACATTCAGTTTTGGGAAATGGTTTGGAGGAAAGATGCTTTTATTTTAGTGAAGAATGGGACTGGAGTAGGGAAGTCAGAACAGTGCAAAGTTTTGAGGACTTATCACTGATAGTGATTCTCTGAACTGCCAGCAGTTTGATTATAAGCTTGGCATGCAAAAGATGAAAATTCGAAATTAAGCAATACAGGCACTCCAACTGAATCTCCAAATCCATGAACATTTTTTTTTTAAATAACCAATCCTGGCTGTTGAAGCATAGCTTGACCCTCTCTGTGCCCCAGGAATAAGAATTTCCATCCTTGGCCATCAGCAGCTTAGAGCCCTGTCTTTGCTGCACAGACCTGGTGATGGGGATTGGTGTGCATGCTCCCAGCCACATGCCCCAGGATTCAAATGCTCCATGGCTTCAAGCACCTGGCCCCAGCACAAAATAACCTCTGCTCTCACTGCAAAGTCTGAATTGTTATCCAACCCACAGTAAGTTATAGTATAGCAGTGGCATACTGAGAGCTGGCCTGGCCTTTTGAAATGCAAATTAACAGTCCAGTAATAACTAAGTTTGAACCTGAGAAAAGCCAAATGTTGAGCCTGTTTTTGCAAAGCTGAAGATGTGCTGTGTACATTGCAGCACAGTTTAACAGCACACACTCGCAGCCATCCAGCCCAGCCAGGCACCAGCTCCCAGTCCCTGGTGCCACCAGGCTGTGCTTCCTTTCTCATGACTCCTGCTTTGAAGTTGAGCTGCAGCGTGTTCAGCTGTGCTCAGCAGGAGGGCTGAAGGTTTGAATATTCAGATTTCATCTCTGTTTATAGAGTGGGCTTTTGAGATGTAGGAATTCTGTTACATTGCCCAGTGTCTGGGGGAAGGGCTGCTGAGGTTGTTAATGGGTCCCAAGGAGCTCCATCCCTTACACAAACCACTGTAGGCCCCTTCTGCTCCTGTTAATGGCCACATGGACCTAGTGCATAGTATCAGGTACCTTTAACAGAGCTTTTTAATTGTGTCTCTGATTTTATTTCTGCTTGTTTCATACTGGCTGTGTGCTGTAGCAGGCAATATTTAGTCTATTCCACTTAACTAGTGCTGCTTTAAAGTTGATTCTGATGCATTATTGCTTTCTGCAGTGGCAGACTCACACACACATGAAGTTTCCTTGGTTTCCATAAGGAAAGAAAGTGTGAAATTTGATAATATAACATGGAAGTTATTGATTTTCTAAAGCCCCATGTGCTTCTTCAGTGTATGCAATACTCTCGTGTAGACATGCACATAACAAGTGAATTAATGAGTGGGTGCCCAGGAAGGGAAAGCAGAAGAGTATTTATCTGCTCTGCCCTTTCATTCCAAATCCAGACAAGCAGAGAAGCATTGTGATATTCCTACCAAGCAACTTGGGAAGAACATGCTTAAGTCTCACAAAGCAGAATTCTGGAACCTCTCCTGTTTTCCAGGCAGCTCCTGCACCACACCACAAGATGTGCAGCACCAGGTACCATAGGATTGAAGCTGCTGCTTCTGATAGAAGTGGGATGTTGCTGCACTACAACAAAGTATGCTGGGATACAGGAATGAATCCCTGTCCTGTTTGTTTAATGGGAGACCCTTTCTCCCATTACAGAAAAATTGGCAGTTTCCAGTTGTGCAGAGCTGTGTGCACAGCCAGGGAAGGGGCAGGCTTGCCAAGGGGTTTGTTGCCTGTCAACAGAGAATGGCACTTTGTGGAATGTGGCTGGGGTGGACCTGTGACTCCTCTCTGCTGCCAGTCCTTATTACAGGCCATTATCCTCTCCAAAGTTATTCCTGCCCTTTGTCTTTCTCTTGTGGGCAGATGTTCCCTATTCTTTATGTATTGATATATATGAGTGAGTAGGAACAGAAATATTGAACTGGATGAACTGTTTTAGATCTGGGTAATTCATGGTCCATGCAGCATAATTAAAGGTTAATGTTCTCCTTCCTACTTAAGGTCACTCTGTATATTTGAATTTGCACCTTAGACTTAAGTCTTCCCCTGCACAGGAGAAAGTGTTATAAATGAATGAACTGACCTATTCTACCTCTTCCTACTCTCTGGAAAGCCATAATTTTCTGTAAATTGTGGGCACTACCCATTAGGAAGTGCTGTAAAGGGCTGCACACATTTACAGTGCTATATATGGAACAATTTCATAGAGTATATGCTGGTCTTTGTGCCTTTTTTTACCTTTTCTGGTTTACTCTATACTAAATAATGAAGCAGCCTAATGGAGAAGGCACAAGAGAGGCACCATTGGCTGAAGATTGCAGTGGTGTAGCTCCAGTGTCTGACAGAGGGATGAATATTGAGGCAAGTGTGAATCAAGTACCTGCTATTAAAAGTAACACACTAAAGCAGAATTCCATCAATTTGCTATTTGGGTTTTTTAATATTCA